CACAAGAGCGTAATCGCAGTGCCCAAGGGACAACTGCTTGAGGTCGGTCGCACACGACCTTTTTGTGAGTAGTTTTCGTGTTAGCTCCATACTTGTTTGGATCTTACCGCCGGAGACGGAAATCCGTTGGATAAGGCAAGATGTGCATTTTTAGAGTCGACCTTTTATAATCCCATCCTTTCTTGTGGGAAGACAGCATCGCTGTTAGGCTGCTTGTCTGAGGGAAACACCTTACTGCGGTCACACGTCTGTACAGTCAGCAGACCTTGAGTTTGTTGCTTTTAGTCTTACGGCTCTTCAACCGACCTGCCTGACATGATGGGACCTTGAGGAACGATTGTTCCAGCCAGTATAGCCCGATTGGTTCACTACGATAGGGAAGCCTGACAACCACGTCAAGGTAGCATCAACGGTTGCTGGTTCAGTCATAGATACAATTTTAATGATGCTCATATTTTTGTTGTTTATTGGTCATTCCCGACTGTTATCGAGACACTTCTGTCAATCATATATAATTTTTGAACGCTTTTCTCCAAATGACTTTTACTGTTGTATGTAAGTCTCAATCGGTTGAAGAGAACCTATTAAATAATTGAGTGTATATTTTTCTGTTGGCGTTGATGTTATTGACTTGGTGAAAAATTCAAAACATTTCAATCTGGGAATAAAACGGTTTTCTTTAAAGCATTTTCAAGCCGGTATTTAATGTACATCTAGGTTTCAGATTATGCAGGAAAACTCAAATAATAAAACCGACTCACCGAATGATATGCTTGCACATTTAGTTTGGTTTAACATTTTTCTGGGGGTAGTAGTGAATCTAACAAGGGGTTCGATTCAAAAGACTACGCATTGCTAATACTCAACTACGATGTTAATAAAACGATGCCTTAGCTTCTAAAAAAATAATATTAAATATAGCCGAGACTGACATAAGTTTCTCTATAATTTTGTGATAAATTGGTTTTTTCCAAATAGATGATGGCATTTTTATCAAAACCTCATTCACGAACATTTGTCTCCATTATCCAGCAAAGCGTAATGCTCTATTTGTAGTTGGTGTAATCATACTTTAATACACCTGTACGGAAGTTAAAATATGGTAAGCAAAGTCATTAAGGCTAACTTTACCTTGTTCTGAAGAACCTAGTTTTATTATATACTTTACAGGACGAATTAACATTAACTAAATGGACAAACTGTTCCTGAATAATACTTATATCAGTTGACTAGATGCTCCAAGATTGATTTTTTACCGACTTCTGTGATCTTTTGGTAAGCCAGGCAGGATAGTGTTCGGAAATGTTTTTTGAAAGAGCTCGATTTGTGTGGCCAATATATACTGCTCCACATGAGCAAGTAAACTGATAGATGCACATTGATTTGGTCCAAAGCGCAAGTTTATTTTCCACACAACTACGAATCATAAGCCGACTGAAAAGGATGTTTTTCTTAGAGATCTTGAAGGCCTGTTTATCAAAATTTCCATCGCAATATTTCCTTTAAACTGAATGTTTATGAAGAGAATCTTCTTCGGTGCTCGAGACACGTTGTATTGGCATGGGGTTTCTCTCAATGAATCTGGGTGTGTATCGTTGTTGATCAGTATCTGCCGTAGTTTATCAAATCTGGTATCGATTGTATCCTCGGTACAGTGTACGTCTACCACACGTACATAGAAAATTAATTAGGTTTCTCTTTTGATTCAGCGGGACCCAACTTTCAAAACTCGTGTATTGATCATTCTATGTTAGCTTTTTATATTCCGATGTTTGTAGAGGACCGCCAGGTCTCTTTAACAACAATATATCAGAAGTGGAATTCTGAATCCTACTCTGATTCCTTTGTGAACTTGGTTGATTGATGACAGTGAACGCATCCAAGATATCGTTGAAATAGGTATTTTTGTCACAAATAATGAAAGTGTCATCTAAATATCTCTTGTACAGATAGAGGCTATCAGGCTTTCGTCTAAGTATAGTGTCTTTGAGATTAGCAGTCAAACAGTGATCTAAGTTAGACCGTCTTTGATGTATGTCCCACCTTTTAGAAATGCAAGTCACTTCTTAGTCAATTTCGTGCACTAACTATTTGGTTGATTTCCAATAGGCTCAAATTATTAAATAAGCCTTCTGAAAATAGGTCTAGCTCCTCAGATTCAGCTGCAGGCGTTTGGGTTTGGGCATATCATAACGCGTTCACTGTGTGGTATTGTACTCGGATTTGAGCCTTAGGGTCTATATAACGACTCTTGGTACTGCATGAGTTCTCAAACGGAACTAGTTTTGTTTAGGATCAAACCTGTCACCTATTTTTGAAAATCAAGTGCTTTGAACATTCAGCCAACTCGACTTTAATCATCGAAAGGAAGATTTACAACACCCAATGCTTGATGACGACAACAGAGATAGCTTTAACGCGAATGAATATTTAAAGCGCTGAATTTCAAACTAGCTGTTAAACTGTTCATAGAGTGGTTTAAAGTTCATTATAAAGTGTCACACACCTCTTTTTTTACTAACTGGAACCAAAGTGGTTGTTGTTCATAGAATAGGATTTTGTTGCATAACTCTTTCGCGTGGTTTTTAAATTAAGTATTATTGATATTCTTTTTATACGACTTATATTCTAATTCTCCCCAGTACTGTTTTAACAGCACCGCGTCTTTGGGTTATTTTATGCGTTTGGATTAAATGAAAACATAAGTAGATAATATCCATAACTTTATTGTCTCAAATATTTTCTTGAAATGTGATCATTTATCTTATAAAAGGGAATTAATCGGAGCACTTTTTACATCGATACCGATAAAACAAATACTAATGGTTTACTGTATATTGTGTTATCCAAATAAATACCTCGAGTATATTGTCATGGTGAAGTTATAGGCATAAATTAGTCGAATACTTTACTTTGGTTTATAATTAATTTTCTTCTTGAACGTTTCGTCATTTATTATCAGTTTAAAAGAGATTTGATCCACCGATTCCCCTTTCTCTGTCTATAAGTATATGAAGTAAATCCAGAATCCTATGTAAGCCTAAGTTCAGTACAAAAATGTGAAATGTGTCGACACATTTTCGTAAGCCTCAATCTAATTAACAGATAGATGTCATTGATGAAGTAGTTAGTTAGCAAAAGCCTAAATGTAGATCCCATTATGTGTTCATTTTCTTTCAGATTTATTTATCAATTAAATACCAGGTATTGATCCTAAAATTAATTTTCAGATTTCATGCTTTATGAATATTAACAAAACTAAGTAGAAAGTCTGTCAGGAGGATTTTAGTAAAAGTAGAAACTGTTATATAAAAACCTAAAATTGTGCTGGGGACGTCAATGTACATGTGTTAACTTCTTGGTGTCCGTTTTCTTACCGTTTTATTTGTAATTAAACCCTTAGCTTATATTTTCTGCGTTACATTTCGGCTGTTTTGTATCATACTACGTTTGTGTTCTTGTAATAACAAAGCCTTTACTCTCAATATTGTATTATAAATATTTCTAATTTCATATTTTTCGGTTTTTCTTGTACCTTCCTTATATGCCTAATCATAGTAGAGAAGCACCGCGTAACGAGTTTCATAAATTTAAGACACTTTCAAGCAGTTAAGAATTCTGCTTATTGATACGTGTGAAACAGTAGTCATGTTCGGAAGAAGCCAATTCGATTTCTAGAAACGTACTTGAATAATTAGTTTTCCAAATTCAGTGAACTTAAATCGCTGTTTAATGAGTTCTTTTTATGTAACGTTTGTCTATTATATATGATTAGAATTCATCTATTTACTATTTTTAAAACTGATTAAGTAGTGCAAATCCTTATCCTCTAAAACAACTAGATGCCAATTCATGGTTCGAAAGTGAATATACAGTTTCTTGTATTTAGTGAAATTTGTTTTTTTTTTGGATGCTCCTAATGAACCATTTGATACGTATGAATCTTGTCCCAAACTAATCGACTCAATGCCTCTGTACTAATATTTCCATGCAACGGATTTGTCTGGAGGTTATCCACAGGGTAACGAGGGAGTCCCTGTTTCGGTTTGGGCACCCGGGAAATATAACAGCCTTCACACATATCAAATGAAATCTGTGTGGCGCATATGTATTTGGTGCCTCCTTGTACCAATATCTATATGTTAAAATAAAAAAACGAGGGAGTCTCGTCTTTATTAAAAGTGACTACAGTTATTAGCTTCGTAAACAATCTGTTGGTGCCTAATCTAGTGAGCCATATATTTCTCCATATATCCTGAACTTTTATCATCATGATCCTCGCAAGTGAAATGATGATCAGTCAATGTCATAAGCAACATAAAATCAGGAAAAAGTGCGGACCAACTCTAGTTGATACATCACTTCAGCAAAGCAAGATACGTGGCTAAAAATAGTATTTTCGAATATAATACCAAAAAATAAACGGATACGGTTTTTAAAAGATGAACAGAACTAAATAAACTAAACGAAATAATATTAAAACATAAGATCTGAAAACAGGAATAAATACAAATGCACCACTGCAACCGATTGGCAATCATGTCACTTACTATATATATTGTCACAATGACTCCACCAATAGACAATGGTTTCACGGTTAGGACTACATTTATTTATGCCCATTGCTAAGTCGATGTACTGGGTCACCAAATGGGACAATTTCTACATAAGTGAATTTTTAAACGTAATTGCAGCAGATGGCTATGGCAATATCCTCTCAGGACTGAGACTGAGAAATTTGTCTAAACTACTCAGCCTCGTATCAACTTTCGAACTCACTGCTACACTTGTAACACCACAAAGAGTTGCTAATGCATCTTCGTATATTTAGTGAGCAGATTTTGAGTATTTTTCGTATGAATTATGATAAATTGCAGTGATAAAAAGGATTTTCTGGTGCTACTTTCACTCGTTTTGCAAAATATATATAGGAGTAATTCTATTCTTCTTGATATTTTGTCTTGTATTTTAAAGTTGCATGTATCTGTGCTTGTATTCAGGTGAGTTATTGTTTGCAAGAGTTATACAACATTCAGTGTCGGCTTTTGCACATCCCACAAGGACATCAGATGAACCAGCTAGCAGCACATGCTCTTGCACAGCATTTCACTTCCGGTGGAGGACCAGTTATGGTTGGTGGTGGCCAATTAGCTCATACAATTATTGGTGTTCAATTATGTGAGTCAACATTAAACGGTACTGAATCTTCGTCATATCGCTATTTAATTCTGGATCCTCATTATACTGGCCCCTTTGGAAATATTAAGCTTATTACCGAAAAAGGTTGGTGTGGGTGGAAACTTCAAAGTTTCTGGAAATCCAACGTTCATTATAATCTTTGTCTTTTACCAGCCAGGAAACGTAGTTGTGTATGATCTGATTTTCCCAGTCTTTTCATAGTATATATTTTTTGTTGTTAAATCTAATCAGTAATTTCTTCATGTTCATACCAAGCTTATTTCCCATATAAGTTATTTTTTGTGATAAAATAATCCAAGTTGTTAACATTCCTTCCTAATAAGGGTTTACTAATTTCTTTCATAATGCTTTATTACTGATCTAATTATTGCATAATTAGTCCACCAAATTATCCAAATGTGCTACACCGTAGTACTAATGAAGTATCGGTTTTTACATTTATTACATGTATGACACATTTATTTGTGAATTATATCAGTACTGGGTTCAATTTGTTTTATTACTGTGAGAACACGGAAGTCACTCATTGACATACTATATAATTGTCAGAAATATAGTTCGTTGAGTATCAGAGTTGTAATTAGAGCGGACCTTATTTGCCGTATTGTTTCTTTATGTACAAAGACAAATCAGATCGGAACCAAAAAATGACAAAACAACACTATTTTATTAGGTTTAGCAGATAGCTCTCTCTGGCGGCCCAGTTGATGAAGTACAGAGTTTCCTAACTAACGGAACTTACATTTGCTCACGAAAATGGGCCTTTAAACGGCCACGCTTTTTATTGTAATATAAATTAGTAGTAAACTGAGAATCTGCCAATCAGTTCTTTCAAACAATGGATGTCAAGTGATTAGCAAGATTATCTATCCTTAGCGATACCCCTTTTGTTTGCTTTCGTTTGAAAGTGTTATTTCAGAGCGTGAAAGTCGACAATCTATTACATGGAACCCGTTAGGTCACTGTGCCAAAGTGTCTCCACAAACATAGTATAACTAAGGAGGCATCTAACAAAATTCAAAAACCCTGAAACTGTAGTATTGAAAAACGTTAGTTCAATGGAGAAATATTTACCTTCATAAACCAAGTATGAAGTTGTTATCAAATAAATGTTCATTGGTCGGTCTACCAGTGTGTTATGAGTTTGTAGCGTGGCGTCGAGTTGAGATTAACTGTGAACACCGCTACCCAGAAACACGTGCCAGACAAATCAGAAGGCGAGGATCGATCGTAACCAGATTTATTTCGTTGGCGATCTCGTGGTATTGAAGGAATACCGAGATCGTGCCAAGAATGGTACAAGTTTTCATACTGCAACCCAGTTAACCTTATCGCTCATTCTTGGAATATTTCACTCGATAGGTCCCCAAATCGAAACACTATTGAACAGAAACATAATTATATTCCAAATAGGAAAGGTTGAATGGAATTAGGAATCAAAATAAGGAGCACGTTAGTATATTTATGATTTTGCACGAGATTCTAGAGTCTTCTCTGAGCACCCGCCAGTGTTGATTGGCTAGGACATTGCCAATCAGTGTATTCCAATGCAAATATTCATCCCGTTAAAACAGTGTTTCTCATTTCCGTAAGAATTTAAGTTAGGTCGCCTTGATTATAGAAGTTCACTCTCATCAAATGACGTTAGGATACAATGGTCTTCGACGTTTTATAAACTCCCTGGAGGGCGTGGTAACTAAGACCACTGCTGTATGTTATCTTCACAAACTTCCTACTGATTGCCGTAAATCAACTATAATACCCCATGAACCACCATACTGGCGAGTTTTTCAGCATTTTTAGTTGGCTTACTTTCGGATTTTTGCACCTTACGAAGCTTGCCATACCAAACCCTAATGGCCCAAAACCACTTAGCTATTGTTCTACCAGATTTCAGGAGTATTAAGTCTATCTACATTGTGGAGTAGTGTGACTCTAAGTGAAGGAGGTGTACCTTTCGTCGCATTTTGCTCCTACATAAGCGGCACAGGTTAGCTACGATAATACTCGTACCCACCAGGTAGAATCTGGTTGTTCATCGAAAGACTTTTCTTGTAGGCTTTACTTGGATATAACGACAGAGATTTTTGTTCAATGTCACACTTTCCGAATTCTTGGTGCAGCCGCTACTAACTTGTTATTGTTTCTCCTCCTAACGATTACCCACTGCACCCTCCCGTAGAACAAGATATCAACAAGTAGATCCTGTTATTACGGCATAGGGACTGGGGGGGGGTAATGCCTTTCAAAATATTTGATAATGAAAAGCGGTAGGTAAAAAGATCAACTGATAAAGACGAAAAAGTAAAGGAACAAAGGAAATGGTAACTACGCTCGACTGTTTTGATTAGCAATTTTTAGTAAGTCAGGAAGTGTTGCACGTATATTAAGGTTACAAGTAGTTGAATAAATAGTCGTAGCAGTTATAACAACTAGGGATACTGAAGTTGATCGAGGTAACTATGCCTAACGTGCAACGATTTAGTTTCGATATAATTGTGGCGGTTTCAGAGTTTGAGATTTTGCATTATTTCACAAACAATGTAAGATAATAGAAACATATTGGCCGCGTTAAGTGCCCTAAGTTTGGATTTGGAAACTGGTGACTGTCACTGATTACTGAGAAGCCTAAGGGGTTCAGTAAAATACATCGATGAAATGTCACTGCTCATTTTGCAATCTACGATTATTGTCAGATATACTCTGACAAGTATTTATCTGAATCTACCTCCTAAATATACTGTACGATCTTTCTGCATATGTTTTGTGCTAGTGAACATCCCTACATTTATACTTGCAAAAGGCGGTAGCCTTTATAACTATCTGAACATAAGTTTATGATTATTAATTTCCACTTCGCGTGTGCTATATTTGATTTTTGGATAAAGGAAATGTTATTGCGAATATCCGTTTACCAGTTTTTTTCGGTCGCGTTGCTTTATTTCCGGATTTCTGTGAAAGGGATTAATCCGTCCTGTCCAACGTTTTATTGCCGTGGCAGTCATGACGGTTCCCCATTCTTTGTTGGGCACCTTTCAGTCGGTCCATCAGTGGCGTAGAGTTGCGATTTTTGTCTGGTAGAAACATCCTTTTCTTTTGAAAAGTAGTGATTTAACGTCTACAAAATATTTAGTTAAGCAATGTTTTGCAAATGCATTTTACAATGCAATTGTGCAGGTCCCTCCTTGCGTCATCGGAAGAAACGTTTTCCAAGGAAGTTTATTCATTTTGTTTACTTCGTATTTAGATTTGCCTTGAGAGTACCACTATTAATAAGCCATCATCCACATGCTCTTTCATTCCGATATATCGGACTAAAGAAGCACGACGTCGTGAAACAAATGCACAGCACTATTGGAGTTTTAAAAATTCTGATTTTAACTAGCATATGATCCTTCATAGATATGGATTATTACAGTCGCTTGGTAATCTGAAAAGATCAGCGTCAGTTTTGGAGAGTAATGGAATAATATTCGAGTGTTTATAAATGAGAAACAAATGATTGTTATCTCTAGTTAAGCAGTTTTTACATTAAGTGCATAAGGTACGTTTTATGGCTGTACAAGTCCTCTTTACAAGATATGACTTTACATTCACTAGGAGATGAGTGATCTCTTTGAATCGGTTGGTCAGTATTAGCTCCACTAAGACGTAAAGTGTCTGAAGTGATACTTAGAGAAATATTTATTAATATCAAAGGAACAATCCAGATGCTCGATGTTATATCACTTCATTCATAAAGGTCTTCTGTGAATGACTCACCATCCCGATAAGAGCTGAAGCTTCGTATTAGCATTTTAGCCATGTTTACCCTTATTATATTCAAATAGTAATCCCATTGTTGTGCGAGTGAATCAAGTATATAAGTTTAAAATACTATGTGATCACCATACTTGGTCTGGGACAAGCAGCAAATAACAATTATGAATACAATATCTTCATTATCGAAAGCAACAGTGTACAACTTGATACGGCGGCAAATGTCGCGTCACAACAGAAATAAATGCCAACGATTATGGAAGGTTGTTGTATCAATAATAATGACAATCATATTACACTATTTTTTCTGCCACACTGTACGTTCACTTTTAACCTACATAAAACTGACGCTATCGGAGTGACTCATTGGAAATATGTCAGATTTACTTGGGAAGAACACTCCGATGCTTCAACAGTAACCATCGACAACGACAGCCACATGCACCTGCCTTAAAGTTTCAAAATTTGGGAATCACATAGCCGTATATAAGCATAATCTTCGTATTTTGTCATAATAGCCGCAGGAATACTGGATGCATCAGTAAAGAAATAGACGGTCGATAAATCAGAGTTCTATGTTTCCACATGTTGCAACGTAGATTACACTGTCTTATATCACGTCGCATGAAGATGAGTACCTTTTTGGTCAAATAATAACATGGACTTGAAATGAATTGTTCTGAATTGACAAGATTTTAGGATGTGAACTTATAAGCGCCCTTAACAGTTCCAAACATTTGATCATTCGAAAGCTTTTATGAAGTAATTTTTAGTTCACAGACAAATTTAAGATAACTGTTTACAGTCTCTATGTCCTCTGCAATGTTTGTATACTTTTCAAATGTGTTCTACATTTTACACTGGACTGCAGTAAAACATCAGTTGTACGTTCAAAAGGATGTCACAGTTTATCCCTGATTGATATACTAGGTTATATTCAATTTCACCTGACCAACGACCGTTTAAACTGCAGAAGCTATTATTCCAAAGTGGTTGATGTGGATTATCAATAGTGTTGTAGCGGTAAATAAATCCCCAAAATAAATAGCTCTGTAAGTTTTCGACATTGGATGCTGACCACATTAGATTTAATGGACTCACCTAACTGAAGGCGCTCGGTCATGCATCCACACCAGATCACGAGTGGGAACGCCGTGTTCAACATCCCTTGCAGTCGCTACCCAGATTAGGTCAGCCGATCCACGATATATTGATAGCCTATCAAATATGTCTTTGAACCTCCTTGCTTCTGTCTTTTCATTTCACTTGCTGGGTACGATTCTTATTAGAGGGTGTTACTGGTTAAAGCGTTGTCAAGCTCCGAATACCTGTGGCATCTTTCAGTATGAAAATTTAGCAGTGATTTGAACTTTTTACCGTGGATATATTGTAGACTTTACTTGCCTGACAATATTTTCAAGTGTCTGGGTACCAATTCAAGTCCAGCTGTGTAATTTAGACAAACATGTTCAATCTTCTTTATAGAGTGTCCTCGTGGATTTAAATCCAGTTTAATCTGATAATCAAAGTGAGTTAGTTTTATTGTCCGTTGTCAACTACAGTAATCTCATTAGCTGTAAAGATTACATTGTGAACACCTAACCAAAATGGAAAACATGTGCTTTGTGGTCAAGCACGAAATAAATACCAAAACCATTAATTTAGCGTTCTCTGTTTTGTAGTGTACACTTTGGCTCCGTTGTTGCTTTGTAATTTGACCTGTGATCCCAACAACTGTAGTAAAGCTCAACGAAATGTCAAGTCACAGGTAAATCCTAAGTATTTGTAGTATTTCCTTGGGTTATTATTGTTGCAAGGAATAACTTTTTAATAATTAGTCATGTCTGTTTTTAGTGCTTCATGCTCAAGTGACATTTCAGTCGACCTAACCGATGCCTTTCGAAGTATGATACTGAACAAGCGTTTCGTGTTGTCGGATGATTTTGAAAGCGCCTTAAAAAAGTTCCAAAAAGTATGGAATTATAATTTTATCGCTTCTCAGACTACTTATACTCGTTACATCCACACAGAAAGCAGATTGCTGAAGGATGTCAGGTTCAAATACCTGTTTGTATCGTTTAATTGTACGTTTGGTCATAGACGGAAATCGGAAGATTTGAAAGTGAGGCAAAAATCGTAAAATCTTTAACTAGTATCTTATGTTTAAGGTCTAAATTCCGTAATTGTCAATCTAAATTTTGTGTAAGACTAGAGGAGCAAGGATATGTCATCAAATCCTACAACATGCTCCACAATCATCCATGTAGTAGTTCATGGATGGTATTTGATCCATGGACAAGGAGATTATCGTCAGAAGAAGAGGAGAACTTGAAGCCCGTAATACTTCACTGTGAGTCAGCAGATGAAGTTATCGAAAATATTAAGGAGAGAACTGGTAAGCAAGTAAATGCTGCCGATGTCAAAGGTATGAAAGCTGCACTCTCCACTGGTAAGTGTATATAAATATATTTCAGGTTGTTTTACTCGGAACCAGGTAATGGATATGCTTAGACAGAAAGGCGAAGTGAAGGAACATTTAGAAAATGGATATGCCACTAGAATATGATGTGTCAATATCCCTGCCATCACATGCTACTTGCCTACGTTAAAAGACGAAATCTTACAGGTAAGCTATATCAATTATGAAATACTAACTGCATAGCTCATCAACTTCTTAGGTATTGTAGCAGATGGAAGTTACATAATACCCAGAACTTCCAAAATAATGCATTAACTGCATTACCACGACGGAGTGAAGTGTATATAAGTATTCAACGAAGCCAAAGAATCCATAAGCATCGCATCATTGAGAAATATGGTGAACGTTTCGCAACGGAAGTTGAGAAGAAAGTGGACAATTATTACTTAAGAATTCTTAATACCAACTTGTAAACTTGATTTTCTGCTTTAGCAGCAATGATTATTCAATAAACTTTCATAATTTTAATTTTCATCTTATTCCTACTTTCATGGGAATGAATAGCAATGACGTTCATGTGTAACTGTTTGTAATAATTAAGAATGATTAAGAAACCCTACATCCACGTACAGTCTTGCGGATTAGGCACCCACATATCATATTCACCTTCGTCGGATTACGTTTATAATTAAAATCGTATCAGTAGCTAAGATCTTAATTTCATGTGATTAGTTCCGCTCATGAATTAAAATGAAACCAGGAGAAATGTTGATTAACAGTGGTATGCATTCCTTATAACTAAATATGCATTAGGATTTAACGGTGATGTGGGAAACAGTTGACATACCTTAATATGAATAATTGAAATGACGTGGGTTATCAATAGTGACTATATATATATATATATATATATATATATGCAGTTTAAGGTCAAAGGTCATTTGTTTTTACAGTCAATAACACATTAAGAATGGGTGGTGTAATAGTGGACTGGAGTTCACAGACAGATAAGTGGTGTGAAAATCTTACAGCTTGTAAATGATCCGTGGATTTAGGAACTGAAAACTTGGGTGACGTAATAATTAATTACAATTTGCAGAGGTCACATAATTACAGAGGATTAAGTGACAGGGTGCTGGAATAAATCGGTAACTAAATTTTAAAAGTGAAATGAATTATTACATAATCCATCTTATTACTTGTTCATTCCATGGATTATAAGGAGTTCATAATATTCTTTATCTATATTTGTTCTAGCGTCATATCGACTATTAATAAATACGGACACGGTTTATAAAGTAATACACTGAGTGTAGTTGCTATATTTATATTTCACTAATTCATTAGTTGAATAAAAATGTTACTAGGCAATACGGAACACAGTTAACGTGAACTTGTAAACCGGTTTTTAACATGGTCTTCCATAATCACAAATTCTATAAGTTGTAGACCGGCGTAAACATCATCACAAAGCTTTGACGACTTTATTGGATTCATACAATTCTGAAAAACAAACAAATCAGCCGTGAAATAAAGAATTAGACCTAGTTATCAGTGTCACATTCAATAAGTCAATCAAATAGCAGGTTACAGAATGTACCTATAAGTCTCTTATTTGCAGACAGCGCTAATCATTAGAGATTTCTATTTCCTTTAATAAAAATTATTAGGTAATCTTTACAACACACAAATCAGTGTTATTTAAAAATTGCTGAAATCAGTTTCGTCACAACATAGAAGCGTGGTCTGACTTATGAAGAAAATGTAATTAATTAATGTGGCATAAAGGAGATATGAATACAAGGAACTTGTGATTGTGCTTCCATTGCTCATTCACTTTTCGTCACGTTGTCTTTATGAATTACTTCGGACGAGTCAGTCTGTAATGCAGTAGGAATTCATGAATTAACTCATTAATAGTTGTTTTTTATTCAAGTCTGTGTCGTAACAAGCACTGGGAATTTGTTCAGTGTCTAACCCTTGTAGTATTTCGTCTATACATCTGGTATTAGCAAGATAAATTGGTAAGTACCATTTAGATATTACTCGACAATATGCATCATAACTTTGTTCACATTTTCGTCTGCGATTGTGCATTTCGTTTACAGAAAATTATCCGTCAACCCTATAACAGACACATAAATCGTTATTAAGTACGACATGGTTTTGTCACCATGCTCAGAAGAGACACCCATCGTTTTACTTATGAAGATTTTGTGCCTATTTAATGTGGTGTTATACACTGTTCCTGTATACGTTCAGAAAGCCGGTAAAAAAGACTATCAACGTCAATTGTTGCTCACATAATTTTTTACTGATACGTTACACAATAATATATCACTTCAGTACAAAACAATGCCACCTATAGTGCAAATAACCTTTTATGGCTAAATACAAACAATTTATATAATATTCATAGTTAGTTTAACGCTTACTTCTTTCTGATTACATTTTATAAACGACTACGAACATCTATGTTTGCCGTCACCATAATCAAGGAGGTGAACCATATATCATGCTTTTTAAGGCTTATTTTCATGAAAACTCAATCCGTAATCTATTTTTGACTAGAAAAATGGTGATTTGACTTGTTTGACTTTGTATTCTTAAGAATAACCATATTACGACAACTACATATTTACTTAGGTGGTGAGCACGAAATACGTCAAACTGCTTATAAATTGAAATAAAAACTATCTTCCAATCACAAAGATTACGAGAAGTCACGTATGATGGAAAAAAGTCTGTTAATAGCTGATAAATAACGACACATAAAATCCACGACAATATGTTACACGTGCGCGAAAACCCGTAAACTAACACACAGTGTGCCTCCAGGCTATGAAGAATCCAATCTCACTTTCCCTCTCTTTTATGTTAATACTAAAACAATATTCAGTATCCAGTGATGAGGATAGTTGGTCCATCGACCTATATTTATCCTTGCACTTTGTAACACTATAGAGGTCCAATCTCGTTTTGAATATATCAACAGAAGGTGCTGATATTACATGTTCCGGTAGAGAATTCAAGTAATTCAATACTCGGTGCGAGAAAGGAAACTCCAGAGGTAAACGATTTAACCTCGGTTTTGAACTTTCTTCGAATGTCCTCTCAAATGATCAGTCCCAGACGGAAGCAAAAGAAAAGACATGTTAATACCAAGGTCATCGTCCAGTATACGATAAGCCAATATTAGACCACCCCGTATTTTAAGGCAAGATAACGGAAGTAAGTTAAGGTGTCTCAGTTGGTAGATGTAAAATAAGGTTCAGTCAAGAAAAAGTAGAATAATTGAGTGAAATCAATACGTGATACATTAAGTATCGTTTCTGCTGCTAACGAATTTATCTACACACATTTCGTTTATCATATGATTTATTTCTAATTATTACTGTCACACTGTCTATAAATTCAGAAATGTGGTCAGCTCACATGAGCCTTTAGAGCAGAGACGCCACAAGTATTCGGAGTTTGATAATATCTTACCCAGTAACACCTTTTATAGTTGAAATATGCCAAGTTCGTAGAAATGTTTCATACGTTATCAGTCTATCGAGAAGTGATCAATCTGAGCTTGCTAGAGGTGGTAGGAAACGTGAAGAAACTCCACATTAACAGACATCGTGGTGGTTGGCAATATGCATTGATAAGGATGAATATTAATCATATATCGATTCCCGAGCTGCTAAATACTAACTGCCGACCAATAACTAAAAAGGTGGTCTATCATCAATTCCTACTATGTCGAAACATATATCGAAATTGTGGTACCATAAAAATTCAAGAATCTTGATTAACTGATTTAGGATTGCTTAGTATCACTATGTAAATTCAATATCTATCGTCAGGATAGATCAAGTAACAAGAAAGAGGTGTGACAGTGGTGTAGTTACGGTTGTAAACGAGAACTGGTGTCGACCTACTTTTACATGTCTCAAGTTTTAAAATGGCCTTGAAGAAATCCATTGATTTTTTGTAGCTCTTCGGTTTAAATCACTAACAGATGTCACTGCTGTTTGTATATCTTTCCAAGCAACATCTGGGTCAGCCTCGGTTTCGAAATTGCCCAAGTGTAAATTCAGTTGTTCCTGAAATGTACCTTTGACCTTCTAATCGTTGAGTTCAACTCCAATAGGTCTTCTTAATGTGTCTTTTCTGCGTCCAGTGAGGCGCAAGCAGTTATGCGCCCGTATTAGAGCATGGTCGGAGTCCAAGCAGGTATTCCAGAACGAGTGGTAGTCCTTTATCGACCCTCTCCAACGACGACTGATGGCAATATGGTCTATTTGAGTCCATCGTTGGTTTGGTGCAGGCGGTCGCCATGTTAGACTATGTTTCTCCTTATGCTTAAAATTAGTGCCTGCTAAAAATAAACGATTGTCTGAGCACAGTTGCAGCAGACCATCATCATTATCTGTTCGCTGAGCCGGAATACTAAAGTACCCATCTAAGTGTCTTTCTGTTTGGTTTAAGCTACCTACTTGGGCATTAAAGTCACCTGCTACGAATACTATGTGTGGGTGTTTAGCTTAATGAAGAAGTTCATAAAGCTTTCTATAAACTTCATCTTTCACTTAGTCACGGCTGCAGTCAGTGGGAGTGTAGGCAGAAACAATAAAAAGGCAACGACGTGTGTCCTTATCCTTCCGAGTTCTTACGGAGCCGTTTAGCCGAACAGCACATAAACGACTGCTTACGGGGATCCACTTCAACAGTGCTTGTTCTTCCTTCATGGTTAGTGCTATGCCTACA